AAAATTACTCATGCTAGAAATGTTCATAAAAGTGACCCGAAAAACGGCGCTAACTCGGTAACCCGTGGACCAGGCTGGCGCTGTCTCTGCAATGTTCACAATATACGTTTCTAAAGTGAATAACGTTATATAGAACGACCTGCGTAAACACAGTCATTATTTCATAGCTGGCAAAATAGTACATAATATTTCTCATCTGAGGCTTGTGACATCATAGTAAACCTGTGTAAAATTCTAATTAATTATACTTGTCATAAGACATTAGTATTAGACCCGTTATATTTTTAACACTGCATCCATTATGTAGTCACTAGAGGTTTTCAAGAATTAGAAAAGAAGATAACAATACTATCCCAACCACACTATGGATACAGCGAACATAGTGTAGTTGGAATGCAGTGTTAGAAGATATAATAGGCCTAATACTAATGTCTTATAACGAGTATAATTAATTATAATGATGTTTCACCTACTTGGAAAAGCATTCACGCTATAATAGTTGTGTAAAATTCTGTCATACTTTATGGGAAACAACAACTCAAGAAGGAACAAAGACTAATTTTATACAGTTTAATTCTAACTTGTATAGTGTAAAATTCGTTAGAGATATTATCATAAAAGGCATGAGATCAATTTATTATCAAAACCTTTGTCTGATTAATTAGACTTGTTGGAAATCAAGGTTAAACTACTACTGAGTGGCTTATCTGTACACAAATATGCATATTTCACAGAATCATTATAAATTTTGAGCACTTGCAGTATTTCAACAGACTACATTCTTGTCCATATAATTACAAAATGTCACAGTAACTATTAACTGCATTAAAATGGACACATAACTACATATCTAGAACCAGAAAGCAAAATTATTTTTAAAAGTGGTGGCTGATACAGTGATGTATGTATAGAAAATCCACTTGATTTTATTCCTATACTTTTCATTTCTCTGTTGTATAGTCGTAGTTTCTAGCTATGTACAAATAATAAATCAATATTATCTAAAGCCCACAGAGACTACCTTTTGATTTAGTGGGACTATCAACAATCTTTCCAGCGTATGGTAAGTAAATTTCAAGCATTGAAGTGAGGGTTAAGCAGACTTTATAAGAATGATGTTCCAGGTCCTGGACTACTGTTGGAATTACTTCCTCCAATACCAGTTGTGGTATTCTGATAGTGGTATTGCCCGATATCGTAGTTTCCTTTGTAACAAGTTTCTGTGTAGGATGGTGGCATCTGTGTTGTTAGACCAAAAATCTTGACAAATCGTCCTAGATCTATATTTTTACACGAACGTGAGCTTCTAATATCCTGTTTAAGCAGACCAAAGCAACAAAAGTTCATTGGAGCGGCATCGAGGATTTCATGGGTATTTAGTTAAATGGAATTGTTGTGAACCTAGTTTCTTCAGCCACCTTCCCAATGAAAACAGCCGTTGATAATATCGATATGTGGTTGAAAGCTTGTGGGTTTCTCGCTTGTAAATCTTCGTCATTTAATTTTTTTTTATGATCTTGTTAACGATTCCAGGTAATGTGATCAGCCTCAATGAAGTGGCTTTGTGGGTTAGGGATTAGAGGATTCTCTTTCATAACCACACTCTTCACTTTGCAGATGAGTGAGTTGCTTTGGCTTGGCTTGGGGTGTTTTAAGTCCATTGATGACTTAAATGTTTTGCCATACACATGTTTTTAAGTTCCCTGAAGAACTTTTAACGTTCTCTTCTTCAAAATGTTACATCATGTAGAGCTCTAAGCCGTTTAAAAGTGTGGTAGTTGGAAACTTACAGATTTCACTTTTCTGTAACTAGAAAATAACATCACATCTAATCAAGTATGATCATATTCTTAAATATTTTAAAAGAATTCTCACAATTATGTCTCAATCGTTTTTTGTTTTTTTTTTAATTGTCAGTTTCGAATTATTCTCTTGCAAAGATGTCCCCAAACCCTCTGCATTGCAGTCTTAATACTCGCCCGTTGGCTCAAGCTTTTGATGGAAGTAACAAAATGATATTAAGTCATAATCTAATCTGTGTTGGCACTACAATGTCGAACGACCAGGAATTTGTGATAAATATTTTTAGCGCGATGCTACACATTAGACTATCAGCATTCGAATTCCGGATTTTAGCGTTGTAAGTCCTCAAACTTAACGCTGACCCACCAGGGCACAAGTCATATAGGTGCTGTAGTTTGTTTGTGTGCCATCGTATTATAATATAGAAATCATTTTTATATATTGTGAGTACACTCTATAAACTGTCGTAATCTTATCCACTAAATTATCTAATTTGTGCTTTATTTGGTTACGTTTTCTTTTCGTAGTGAGTGTAATTACACCTTATTGGTTGTAATTTTTCAGGTAATTTTAACTTATATTTTGAATTATTATTATACTTTTGGTTATTATTTTGCGTTATCAACTTAAAGTCTTCATTTGAAGGCTAACTTAAATCTTTTAATTAAGATGACTGAACTTCGTGACACACAGTGATTATGGTAAAAGTGTCAGTAAAAGTAGAATTATTGTCCATATGGACACTACTGTTTTTTTTAAACAGTTTTCTCTTGTTTTATGCACCAAATTGATTGTGGATTCGTTTTGTTGTTATTGATTATGTGGTCCTTAATAATATAAGAGTCACATATAAACTTTTAAACAAAACTAACATCAATATTGCAAATAACTTCAAAACTCGCAATCCGAGGGTCGTGGGTTCGAATCCCCGTCACACCAAACATGCTCGCCCTTTCAGCCGTGGGGGCGTTAT